AAAAAAAAAAACTTTCCACAGGGACCTGCACCTGGAAACAGGGCGTTTGGCGGTACTTTGGGTTTTGCGAACAACCACCTGGGTGCAGAGAAACAATTCATAAAGTGGGTNTCTTGAAGCTCTATGGTTGAATGTCGGAGGGAAAAAGTGAACAAAATGGTCTCTCTAATCCAGTTTTTCGGCGATAACTTCGTCAATTTTTGCTGAAATCGAAATCGGAAAAAAATTCCACCTGGGGAATCGCGAGAGCTGTCGAAATCCGGTCTCATAATTGTGGTCTGACAAAAGCCCACCCCAGGAAAAAGTGAACAAGATTTTCCGTTTATTTGCAAATAAATCGACAACAAGAAAAAAAAAAACTTTCCACAGGGACCTGCACCTGGAAACAGGGCGTTTGGCGGTACTTTGGGTTTTGCGAACAACCACCTGGGTGCAGAGAAACAATTCATAAAGTGGGTGTCGCAATTGTTGATATTGGGTCTTGGACTGACCATAGGAGCCCCGGCTTTCGTTGTGCTCCTTTCTGTTGGCGCATTTGCTTTGGCACTTGGTTGCAAACCTAGCACACCGTTTGTGTGACGCATGAACGAAGAACAAAAAGAGATAAAAAAATATATATATATATTGGATAAAGGCTGACCATTTGACTACGTGCACAGTCATCGATGACTAGCCTAATGGTGTAACTTTATCTTACAAAAAAAGATATACGCTCAGCTCGTTAGCACCCGGCTGGATCACTTGGGCCTAGAGCTTGGGATTGACAGCAGGGATCTCCGGGGCCGGACCCCTCGCCAGACGCTGACTGAGAAGCACGTAGTGGTGTTTAGGAACGTGAGTAGCCGGGATTCGAACCCGTGCGTGATACTTTTGTAGCTATTTGTCAAACCATTTGTCTAGTCAGCGCTGGCCGAGAAGAACATTATGGTGCTTGGGAAAGTGAGTAGTAGCCGTGATTCATGCGCTGCCCAATTATTGCAAATAAACGTACGCGTACGTAGTCGAATGGGCAGCTTTTAGCAAATGAAAGATTCACGCACGGGTTCGAATCCCAGTAGATCGCTTTCAAGGCACTATTATCGGCTAATAGCAGCATCTTGTGGCGAGGGGTCCGTCCCCGGAGATAACTACACCCTATCAGATCCACTGGGATAGGCTACGAGCCGAGAGTGTATCTTTTATAGGATAAAGGCTGACCATTTGACTACGTGCACAGTCAGCGCTGACTAGCCTAATGGTGTAATTTTACCTTACACTTTGGTTGGCATGCATAGACTATTTCCAAAAAAGTGCGAAAATAGTCGAAAGACCTTGTTTCTTGTCGAATGATAGCTTGACTGCGGGTCTACACTCCATAACATTCTGCCTGGTAGGCCCGTTGACAAATCCGACCGACCTTTTGACGGGGCTTCACCGTGGGCTCCTAGGTTCTCTCCGACACTCACAAGGACGTGTACACTGCAATCTGCGAGCAGCAGTTCCCATCACTACTACCGAAGGTGAGAGGAGGCGGGTTCGGTCGAGGCTGCATCGAAGGACGAGGATGAGCCGAACCGACAGTACTTGCGGGAATCGGTGGCAGGTTTCCTGTCACCTCGATGACATTCGTCCCCTGCATACTTCTTCCACCATTGTAGGGGGTCCGCGCCAGCTCTACCAGTTTGGATGTTGGAAAGTACTAACCAGAGACCGGAACAGCACGAGCAACAGTAATCACAACCTCAACAGATTGGGCGGAGAGGAAGCCTATCGATGTGATGTGAATTTAGGGTGGGGAGGCGAACGTTCGAATCGTCTTTCTGTTGTTGACAACAACGGAATACATTTGTGTCATGTATCGTCTAGGGTTCACGCGCTTCACGACACCTTTGCCGCTGGAATGGTATCGCTGCTCTTTCACTTTACGGCCGCAAATGCATGTAGGTTGTAGACTAGATGAGCACGGAGAGGTTGAAGCCAAATCGTAGTTTGGTTGTTCGAGAGGGTTTGAGACTACCCATTGCACAGGAAGAGGAGTAGCCCATGTTATTGAAGATGGTGTCTGCAGTGCGTTTGAAATGCTGTTCAGTTTGCGTCAGGCAAGGCACGCATAAATGTCCGCCGGACGGCTGAAGCGATCAGCGAAGTAGTGGGAAACTAGGTGGGTAGTGACATGTAGCAGGAGAATGCCAAAGTAATCGACGGTGATGACCAGGCCTGGTCCAGTTGGAAAGAGAAGAACGCTTGGAGAAGATGAGCGGCGAGGGCAGAGTCTGGGGCGAAGGTGTTATCGCCTGACACTTGAGACAATGGTGTAACCCCCAGGAGTTGCAGATGCTCACGCCTATGCACCAGGTACTGTATGTAGCAGGGCATGGTCGATGAATGTAGTATGACGTGCAGCCAGCCAGGCTAGGGGTTCACTATTGGTGACCCCGCCACGTGTGCGCCAGGTACATGGCTCACTTGGCAAAGGGATTCTTCACAAACGTTGCCATGATGTGAACGGCCCGTCAGGCTTCACCAATGGTATTGAGTTCACGTACCCGGCGCAAACTGGCATGTAGCTTGATCTTCGCCTTGGATTTCGTCGGCGGAAATGGATCAGCTCTGTATTACAACGTTCCCTGTCGAAGATACTTAACCACTTACATACCTGGTACGTCAGGGTCCGGAGTGGTGATGCTGTGATCGGTTGGGGCAGGCGGTTGAAGCGCGGTCATAATAGTGACAATATGACGGATCGGCTATCCATCTGTTCCCCAACGTGCCTGGCGGCCAGAATGTGATACAGATGAAGGAAGGCAGCCGAATGGCGCCGGGGAAGGACGTGTAGGTATGGTTCATGCCACTAAGAGTGTGCACGAAACCTACTTCATTGCCTGCCTTTTCGGGTTAGCCTCACTCAACAACTTTTTGTTGCCCGAGCGCGTTGCCAATCCAGTTTGTTCGGATTTTAGACCCGCTGTTTGTCGGGTGTCGTATGATCTCTGGTACGGCGTTCCACTGGTGAAGAACAGTTGGCTTGGTGTGCAGGCTCGTTGGATCGACTTTGGCGGTCCACGGCGAAGTGACGACAGTGTTCCAGCTGGCCGCGTGCTGCGTTTTGGTGGCCACGAGGGAGCGCAGATGTTGTTGTAAATTTGGACTATTTGGGGAATTCTATTGATGTGAGCTTGAAGTCCTGCCCAAGTCGAGTAGCAACGCTGACCGAAGTGTTTGAAGGCCAACTCAGCGTGGGGCAGGTACAAAATCAAATCATCCTGTCGTTCGTTGACAATCACCGACAACATTGACGCCATTGTATATATCAAGCGCTCAACACATTACCAATGGGATGGGCTCGTCCTATTTTTAGCAAGCGAAGTAGTCTAGTTTGCAGATGAGCGCGGAATGATTGGAGACATATGTTTATTGGTTGCCGGGAGAAGACGCATTTGAGGCCACCCGGACATTGGCAAAAGAAATGCTTTGGGTTTGTTGACAAGGATTTCCCCAGTACAGTCAAAATTAGCTACGATTGCGTCAGACGCGGCACGCATCTCGACCCGGCGGCTGATAAGCTTTCGGTGAAAAAATAAATGTAGGAGGTGCTGCGAGGGGTAGATAGTGGAGGCCCGGATCGCCACGCCTGGATCAGTTGGAATAATACCAGGGTTCTGCACGGAGCGGTTTTTTTCCACGGAGCGGAGCGGTTTACATCGCTCCGCTCCGCTCCGTGGGATTTTCCCTCCAGAAAAAACCGCTCCGCTCCGCTCCGTGACATGAACAAAAAAACCGCTCCGCTCCGTGACAATTTTGCCCTCGGATAAACCGCTCCGCTCCGCTCCGTGGGGCTTCCCAAAAAACCGCACAAGCGGTTTTTTCACGGAGCGGTTTGAGCTACTCCGTCACACAAGCACGGATAAAACCGCAATGCAGTCACGGTTTTTCCCACGGAGTGACGGTTTTTCTCCCACGGAGTCGCGGTATTTTTCTGTTTTTCTGTTCTACTTTTACAGCAGCCACACAAATAACCGTGCCCACGCACACAGCAGCAGTCCGTGCCACACACACATACACTCCGCGCAACGCACTCCGTGCACATCAGTCCGTGTGCACGTCTGCCTGATGGAGTCGACACCCGACCCTGGCGACCGCCCTTCTGGCGACCGCTCTTCTGGTGCTGCTGGTGCTGGTGCTGGTGCTGGTGCTGGTGCTGGTGCTGGTGCTGGTGGTGCTGGTGGTTCTGCTGCCGCTGGTGCTGCAGCAGCAGCGGCGCAACCTGCAGCCCTGCTGAACACGGTGCGCAGCGTCAAACGCACCGTCATCAACGTAGCAGAGACCGTGGCAAACGGGACTTTGTCGGGAGTTTGGACGTATTTCCAGAAGCTTGACCGGCCGGTGAGCGGCGGGAAGAACACGCGATGCATCGTTCCCGATGAAAATGGGAAGCGAGCAAGGGTGGCCACGACCGCGTACGAGAGGCGTCAGGCGCGGAAGGTCCAGGAGGCAGCAGCTGCGCGGACGAGCGCGCGTAGAGACCAGCCGTCTGTAACGGACCGCGTGCAGAAGGAGGTGGATGAATACACCAAGCTGCCTGCCGCCGTCCCCGCGAAGGACTACGACGTCCTCGGTTTCTGGAGGGATGCCGGCAGCCCGCGTCTTGACCCCCACGGCAACGTTGTTTCTGCCGCACAATTCCCCATCTTGTCCATGCTTGCTCGCGTGTACCTTTGCATTGACAGCACTAGTTGCCAATCAGAGAGGGAGTTTTCGGGGCTAGGATTCGTGTACAACAATCTTCGGCAAGCGATGGTGCCCGACCGGGTCGAGATGGTGATGTTCCTTAGGTCTAACCCCCATCTTATTCCCGAGATCAATAAGTTGGACAACGGGTTGGGGAAGCTGCTTGCAGCGCAGGCTGTTGGGAAGGCTAAAGCTGCATCTGTCCAAGCCGCGAATGCGGGAGAGCAAGTGGTTGTCGATGTCGACTCTGAGTGAACTAGAGGCGTGTTGTATTTGGATGGATACACGAGACGCCTGGCAAGTTTCAACAAGAGGCAAGTGAGATATCATGTGCTGTTGTACGTGTTGCAGGAACGTATGAACGAGTCGAGGAGGTATCGATGTGAATGGTTCCTCTCTAAATAATAAATTAAGTGAATGATTGACAGCTTTTTTTGTCTTTTTGGGCTGTCCTAGTCGCGAGGACGCATACAGTGTCACCCGCGGCCTCCAACCACAGCACACAGTACGGAACAATCGGTCTTCGGTGCACGAAACCCAACGGTTTTCACGAAATTGCAGGTGCTCCGTCGATTGTGTACGGATATCCGTGCGGTTTCGACGTTTTTTTCCGACGGAAAACCGTGCTCAAAGCCACGGTTTCGCGCGGTTTTTGCTACGGAGTAAAGGAACCGCTCCGTACAAAAAACCGCACCACGGATAAACCGCTCCGCTCCGCTCCGTGGCATGAAAAAAAAAACCGCTCCGCTCCGTGAGGCTTTTGCCTTCGGATAAACCGCTCCGCACCGCTCCGTGATAGTTTCAAATGAAAAAAACCGCTCCGTGGAACTTCAAAGAAAAAAAAAACCGCTCCGCGGAGCGGTTCTACTCCGTGTACAACCCTGAATAATACGATGGATCGAAATTTGGAACCAATAATGGAACGTCTCTCATTTTATGTCCTTGTTCTCAGCGGGTGGAGAGATCAGCCTCCCCTCTATATGTATGTCGATCGCATGCATGCATGCTCTGCTGATGATCTTTCTCTTTGCGTGAAGCAATAATTCACCGCAACCAATCCACACACACGTGCATGTGTATCCACACACCCTCCTCGCCTGCACAGTTTGCAAACAGCATTCCAATAGCACTAGGGTACTGAAGGGCGAATAGCAAGCGAGAGTAGTGCAGAACGATGAAAACGACAACGTTGGGAAGCGACGCATCCCTTGTGTGTGTGAATGTGAGAAGGCGAGGCACGGCGTGATGCGTGATACCAAATATATTGTTTGGACATGCTTTTTTTACAGTATTGTAGGAACCATCCGATGACGACACGCAGTGCCGCAAAACCACGCGAAAGACTAAGCAATGTGCTGAGTTTACTATTGCTAATATTGTTCAAAATTTGCCAATACAGGTACTAACGCAAGTTGCATGTTTTGAAAAGAATTATTTTGATATATACATGAGCAATACAGTATGATAATCCCACTTCCAACTCTGATCGAACGGCACGTGGAGTTGAGACGACGAAGACTACTGCTGAATTAATAAACTACAACACGAGATCAGCCGATGATGAATGGTAACTACCGCCGCTCAAAGAGTGCAATCCGACCCGAAAGGACAAGAAATGCGACAAAAACACAGTGTGTAGGATGAAAACGGACTACTAGAGTCCGCTTCCGCCGGGGCTTACTCCACTTACGGAGAAAACATCAAGAAGATTGAGGCGCCCGCGAGAGAACGCGAAGGCAACCTAAACCACATGCCCGCAAATGACGACGCGACCCCACGAATTCGAGACAGAGAAAACTGTTTTCGAAAGAACACAACAACCGCTGTACTAGTCAACATGGCAGACAATAACGCGAACCCCACAAACTCGGAAACGTACCCCAAGTTTGTTCGAACAGGAACGAATGGGGACACGATATCGTCAACCATGATCACAACGTGAACCGTACGCGCAACAAGTAAGTACGCATTATACAGAGGACTCATTCGTCGTCGCTGTCATCTTCTCTATATTATTCATCGTCTCCTTCTCCTTCATCCTTTTCGCCCTCATCTTCATCTTCGTCTCCTCCATTTTGTGAACCATAAGTCGTTCGACTATCCGATAGAGCTCAGGTTCCTGCTCTTGGTCAGGCCACGTCGCTCGAACGTGCTTGTCGATGCACTGCGCGTTGTCTGGCTTTTCATCGTCGCAGACCTAAGAAGTAATGTGCGAATGAGGCAGGCCTCGCTTCTGCGACAATGAAACCGCGAAAGAGAGCAACAAAAAGCGGAAAGATCCGCCACAAAAACGAAACTTTCAAAATTTCCGGCTACAGGAACTTGAGAGCGGAATGCAAAATGCAGATATGATCGAGTTCCTACACGAACGTTTCTACCGTGGTTTGACATGGTGAACGCAAATGAGCATCCGTCAAATGGAGGAAGACAATCTGGGGGTGTAAAACCTCTAGACGCCAGAGTATTATTGACCATAGTTCATTGTGGCACTCCATTATTCACTTGGAATTTGATTACCGCAATCAATCCTGTAGGTAATTCCCCCAAAAATTTGAGGTAGAAGCTGTGTACGACAGTGGTGCAAGAGAAAGGGGGGAGGAAAGCAGTTGAAGCCATGCCCAGGAGATCTCGAAAAAAGAACGGTGTCACCGGTAGCACAGAAACATACGTGTTCTGTTCTTGGGTATTTCAAATTGTGGGAAAAGGGGAACAGAAGCTACAGGGGAACTGCAGGCTCCGCGCATACCACCGTATTTATTCGCTTTTTTTTGTCATCAACCCGTCAGGCACCACGCGACGCTGATGGTTCCCTACAACTTTCGTTTCGCTACCTGCAGGATGACGTCCAATTTCTGCTTGAAAACCCTGGCGCACAGTTCTGCTCGATCGAAGGCTGTTTGCCCGCTGTGCAGACGTTGCTTAATTTCTGGCCAATCCTGAAGAGATTATGGTCGAAAATTTGCCAGAAAAGTACGACGGGGATGAAACCTAACAG